ATCCTTGGAATACACTAGATTTTAAAAATGTATATAAATAAAAACACAAGTAGTCTATAAAATATGAAAATCAATGAAAACTGATCAATAAGCAGCATAATGTTTCCAAAGTGTATGTACTTTTGTCATAATGAATATATTATAATGGCTGAGAAAGAATAGTAGTAGAAGGCATTATTCCCTGTGGGTTATGGAGTCCCCAGCTGGAAGAGGGGGGGGGGGGGGGGAGTGGGGAGGTAGTGAAGATCCACTGCTCCCTTAACAAGCATGTCATAAAAATTGACTAATAGGTAAGGAACCAACTGTCTGCATACAAATTAGCCAGATCTGTAAAACAGAAATGCACACAAACTTCCAGTGTTCTGAAACAAGACCAAAGTTCAGAAGTGGGAAAACAACCAGCGTTCTCCACCAGAGTTTGAAGCTAGTGAACACTGACAAGAGAAAGTACTGCTCCTTAAACAAAATAGGAACTGTGTCAGTCAGTTCAAACTGCAATCATTTAGTTTATTACCAACATCAGAAGCCCTATGCATCACAATTAGATCAGAATTTACCAAATCAAGCTATAGCTACAGGAACACTCGTATTGGACAAAGGAGACATTCTGAAGACCATTATGAATGAATGCTGATAGAAGACATGAGGTTAGATGAAATAAAATGTGTGAACAAGTATTCAAGCATGGATCAGGCAAGCAGGGACGTATGAGAGGAAGAAAAAAAAGTTTATAATCAGTGTGTGAAATAAAATGTGTGAACAAGTATTAAAGCATGGATCAGGCAAGCAGGGACGTATGAGAGGAAGAAAAAAAAGTTTCTAATCAGTGTGTGAAATAAAATGTGTGAACAAGTATTAAAGCATGGATCAGGCAAGCGGGGACGTATGAGAGGAAGAAAATAAAAGTTTCTAATCAGTGTGTGAAATAAAATATGTGAACAAGTATTAAAGCATGGATCAGGCAAGCGGGGACGTATGAGAGGAAGAAAAAAAAAGTTTATAATCAGTGTGTGAAATAAAATGTGTGAATAAGTATTAAAGCATGGATCAGGCAAGCGGGGACGTATGAGAGGAAGAAAAAAAGTTTAGAATCAGTGTGCGAAATAAAATGTGTGAACAAGTATTAAAGCATGGATCAGGCAAGCAGGGACGTATGAGAGGAAGAAAAAAAAGTTTCTAATCAGTGTGCTACGGGAACAGTTAGCATCTACACCTTAAGACATTTGTTGCAGGAGACGGATCACCTATGGGTATGCTCGGTGATCTATGATGTAGACTCTTAAATGAGGAAATTAGTAATACAATTTTTGCATATCTGCATATGTAAATGTTTGTATTTTGCATATTAACTTGAATTTTAAAATATTCATGGCATGAGGTGTATATTTATGTAATTTATTTACAAATATCATCATAAAAAATAAATATGTCCTAAGGCACCTAAACTGGAAAATGTATCACATTATTTCTTGCTGTACTTATATGTACTTGAGCCACACAGGAAAAATGTATGCAAAATTATGGCAACAGAGAGTTAGATATAAAGCAGAACAGCACTTAACTCTTTGAGTCCCAAGGGGTTTAGCATCAGAAGCCCAAGGGGTAGTCAAAAAAGATATAAAATCGGTACATCTTGCATCTATTGGGTCTCTAGGTATGAATCTATGAACATATGATGCGTTCCCTGGAACTCAAAGAGTTAAGGCACATATGCATTAGTTAAACTAAGGCAAGTTTACAAGAAAACCATTGACAATGAACTAAATATTGTTTTTGTATATCAAGAAAAAGCTTTTTTATAGAGTAGGCAGAAACAAACTATGGGCTATTCTCGAGGTTTATGGGATACAAGATACATTGAGAACAACACAGCCATGTACCACAGGGGTAAGACATGGATGTGTGCTCTCCCCTCTCATATTTACTATATATATAGACAGAATATTTAAAAAAAAAGCCAGTTTTAAAGCAGTGGACCAAGAAAATGAGAACTTTACTTTCCAGAGGAAGAATTAGATACATATACAATAAACTAGCTACTATATTTGTAGATAATCAGTGCCTGTTCTACAATGAGGGGAGCAGACTGCAAGACCATTTGAACAGGCGAAGTTCAATATGCAGAAGATATAACATCAAAATAAATGCTACTTCTTCTTCTTTCGTTCGCTTGAAATAAATTATCTATATCTGAAATGGTGTCTCTAGTATGAACTTCACTGTCTTTTGTAATTCACTCAGCGCCCATGACGTTTGACTTGCAGCGATTTTTAAATGCTACTAAAACTGAAGTAATGTAGGTCAGTAGAGTTCCTAGTCCGCTACCTATAGGGTTGAATGGAACTTGTCTGAAGCAAATTAAACAATTTAAATATCTCGAAATATGTTCTCAGAGAACCGGAAAATAGATCAGGAAATAGAAACAAGATGCCAATGAGCCAGAGCACTTATATACCAACTGACATCATTATTAAGACATCCAAACATAAGTATGAGTGCCAAGAAACAGTTTATAAAAGCATATTCATACCAACACTGTGCTACCAGTGCCAGACTTGAACATTATCAAAGACTAACCTAAGTAAAATTAACATCTGTGAAATGACACCTGAGAAAAGCCGCCAACTTAATATCTAAGACAAAGTTAGAAATGATATTATCAAACAGATTGTAGGAACAACACCATGCAAACTCACTTAGAAACAGAATATCAAATGGTTTGGCCATCCAGTAAGAATGCAGTCAGAGCAACTACCAACACAGGCGCTATACATGAAAAGATCTGAGGTGAAAGCAAGAGGTTGCTCTAGGAGAAGATGGATTGATGAGATTAGAGTTTCCACACAGACATGGAATGAATCCTAGCCTGTTCTTCCCCACAACCATTAACGGCGGAAGTGAAAATTGCTGATGCCTATGGCGTACTTATATGTTGTTAGAAGAGGAAGAGGAAAAAAAAGCACCAGATCATTACAAAACAAATGTATGTGTATACTAAAAATAGTTCTAAAAGAAGGAGAAGGATTAATATAAGAATGTAGTCATTTGATCCATAATTTAGTTATTATCAGAGCTGGACCTTTTTCCAGATGGTACACAATGGTAGCAAGTACCAGCACCAATAATAATGAGCACAATATGAGTACTGTAACTGCGCCAAAAATCATGACTAAACAATTTAAAAAAAATTCACTTTCTGTAAAAATCAGTACACTTTATATTCTCTGTGTGGGTTCTGGGGTTCTCTTGTGTGAAAAACAGGAACAGACCCACTGCCTCCCCAACAAGCATGTAGTAAGAGTCAACCAATTAGGGGTTTCCTTCAAAGCCGGAGTGCATCTGCCTGAAAGGCAAGGAACCAACAGTCTGCGTATAAACAAGTCAGATCTGAAAAACAGATGTGCATGCAGCACTCAGGTTCTGGAAAAAGTCTAAAGTCCAGAGGTAGTTGAACAACCAGAACTTTCCGCCGGAGTTTACAGCCGGTGAACGCGAAGAAGAAGAAGAATAACACTGTATATCTCAATAAGGGTTCGAGAAAATACGGCTTAATTTACATATTTTCAAAATGTCTGATTTATACCCAAAGAAATATACAACTGTATTAATATGTCACTTTCCTGCCAACATCACCATCAAGTGCCTTGCTGACTGGCATAGATGATGATGTTTTTCTACATCTTGTGATCACAAACATGTTTAGATTACTCAATATGACTGTTTAAAGAACTGTCAGCATTATTCTGTAAAATTATCTCTCTGAGACCACATACAACATCTGACAATGTGCAACTAGTCAAGCTACTAGGACAACTGAATGATGGCAAAGATCTGTTGGCAACAGTACCTCTGCATCCCTTGGCAAAATTATTAAGAGAAAAACGAAAACACCATGCAATAACTACGAACACTTATGGAAGGAGAGTTAAAGGAAGACATGACTAAAAGAGAATGTCACTGACAGAATTTTCTTTGACACAGAAAGGTCGTACACAAGCTGCATCTCCTTCTTTTGCCTTCTATCCCCCCAAAGAAAGAGATGGATAACTGGTGCAGATTAAACCTGCAAACAATTGAACAAATCTATCATTCAAGCCACCCGAAAAGTGCAAGACAAATTAAAAAAACCAAGACACTGGGTTACAATCTGGAAACAGTGAGATGACAAAAGAAGAAGAGAAATGAAGCATAGGCCCTCAACCAACTCACACCATAATCACATTCTTTGTCATTCACCCCATATCTCCGTTTAAATCTCTCATAAAAACATCCTCTCTCGTCTTAGTTGGCCGATTGTTTAAACAGTTCCTTTTTCAGTCTATTCAGAGCTGATTAGCTTTTGCAGCTTCATTTTTCAAACCTTTTGCCCTGGTAACCTAGAAAAAACGGCAAGAACCCATATTTTGGAATTTCAGGTTTCCCCCAAAAATATTCCTTTAAAAAACTAACACTTCTACACAGTTCACAATAAAATTCATAACAATTCCACACACACAAAAAAAAAACCATTGGCAATCCTGAAGTGGAGTAATCAGTAAAAGCGAATGAAGCAGAGAATCAACTGTGTTACATCTTCCTGAGGTTAAATAAGTGTAATACTGGGACTCATTTGGGACCCAGCTGCTGGAGACCAATGTAACTTAGGAGAAATCATAGCGTCATTATTTCTAAAGGTAAAGCCGGTTATCACAAGAAAACAGCCACAAATGCTATTTTTAGCACCTACAGCCATTGCGAATGTGCAAACAGAATCAGTGCTCTTAGCGAGGATTCCCGTAAACAAATCACTATAGCTGCGCCACTTAGCTGCATTTGCGGAGGCATGGCAAATAGCAGAAGTGCCAGTTTTGATGCTTCTCAGGGTGAAAGGGTTGACGGAATCAGGTCACCGACCCCGAACTCAACTTTACTCTCTGCCACCTCTTGTGACCCATCTGGTAGTGTATGGTGTCAGTATTCTCGGTTTCTCTTAAGCGTTCTGGAAGCAAGACCACATAGAGTCAAGTAAAACAGTTGTTCAAGCCCCGTGTATTGTCTACACCTCTGTGTGTGTGAGCTTGGTTGATTTCTTCCCCATATTCCTCAACTGTATTTCCCATATACACCGGGGCACCAGAACTGCCCTTGCATGTTGGGGCAGTATACCAGGTAACAGAGTGAGGTAAACTGATATCCTTCAGCTGGCGCCAGTAAGCAGCAAACCGAAGTCTTCCTGAACCCCCCTGGCTCTCACATAAGTCATAAATACTTCGCACTATCTGCGAATCCTCAACTTCTTGTCTACTCATAGCTTGTGTCCTACGTTCAATCACGTTTCCTATGCTAATTTTCTTTGATGTGCCATGAGGGTGGGAGATCACTATAGCAAAGTTTTTAGCATTTTTTCTGATATGTCTTGGTATAGCCAACCATGAATAGTTCCTTCTCCTATCAAATGTGGCGACTAGCTGAACCAATTCTCTAGAATGAACATAGCAAGTGAAGAGAGTATAATCCATCTTTGTGTTTGTTGTATACAACTTTGCACCCAACTCCTTCACAACTAATCCCGTAGTACGAGAAGCATCATTATTATAAAAGAATTCAATTTTTGTCATGGCTGCCTGATCATCATCCATAACTACATGCTTGTTTGTGATAATTCCGATGCCTCCATAAAGTTTATGACCCTGGCCCAAGGATGCAACGTACGGACAATGCACATCATCACATATACGTGTGTCACGATAATCTTCAGAATGTAAACAAGCACGACCAGTGGCTGTGATATTCCGAATCAGTCTGACAACAAGTGGCACACAGTTCCGTAGCCACACATATGTGGTGCAATGTCTGATCTCAGCTGGTAAATGTTCTATAGTCAAGTCGTCCACATCAATGAACTCGTGATGCTGGTGACTTTTATCGCACAAAGGGGCAGCCACATCAAGGTCACTTCCAGGCTGTGCTTCTGCGTTTTCAATGTCTAGAAAATCAACTGAAACACAAATGATGAAAAAAAAACAACATTAGTTGCATATTCTTAACAGGATGTTGCAAATAAACTCTAGCATTTGTTGGATTTTTGTGGTTTTACTACGCAAGTTAACATTTAGCAGTTCAAGAAAAAGTTAACATTGTCAATAATTTCAGGTGAAAGAAAAGAATATAAATATTAACTGAAAAAACCCAATGAATTCTCCAGCAGGTCAAAAAAGGGGTTAGTTGACAGCAGATGTTAGACTGATCAAGTAATCAGGTAATCACGGTTCTGACTTTACAGCAAACGGATCACCCCACAGTTACTCCATTCCTGTGCCAAAGAAAACCCTACAAAATGTCTATCACTATTCCTTGTGGAAATACCAATACAGGCTGCAGTCCTAGCTATTCCAATAGCATACACATATATTAAAATGCATAAGGCAGGGATAAAAAGTGCCAACACAAACAGTTCCAAGACTATCAAGAATCTTCTCTCGTTGTCTTCCTCTATCCCTCCTTCCACGGATCTTTCCAGTGGTCCCCACATGTTCCATTTTCCCTCTTCCCATAACATGGCTGAAAAATGATGACTGTCTCCTTCTGATGTCTGTGATTAGTTGTCTTCGGGTTCCCGCCTCTTTCAAAACCTCTTGGTTGCTTTTTGTTGTTGTTGCCTGTTTAAGGTATTTTAAGCATTGTTCTGTAAAACCACATCTCTTAGGCATTAGGACATTATTTTGCCTGCCTACCGATTGTCCAGGACTCACAGCCATATGTTAAAACTGGATATATCTAGCAAACAAGAAATTCTTTTTCTAACCTTCATTGACAAAGATATATTGCAAAAGATGTTCTTCATTTTATAAAATGTAGTTTTTGCATGCCATATTCTGTTTCTTATTTCAGTAACGCATCTTCCATCTGATGTTATCCTTGTGCCCAGATACTTAAATATCTGTACTTGTCCCAAAATAAGACCATTATTGCACATTTAGGAAAAATTGTTTTCCTTGATACCACCATTACTTTTGTCTTCCCACTATTCAAACTAAGGCCCATTCTTCAACTTTCGAATAGCGTATAATATAAATTAAAAAAAAAAAAAAAACATTCATAGTGTCAAATGTACGCTGAAATTTTACTTCACAAAATGTAGTACAGAATAGTAAACATTTAAAAACATTTCATGTTGTGCATCCTTCAGTCAGTCAGTCTGTGGTAACTAATAGGTAGGGATAAAAGTATTCTTAGTTTTAAAACAAGTAACTAAACTTGTAAATTGTCACTGACAGCTTTGTTAATGCATGAAAGCGACTTAGGCAACAGCAACTATCGCAGTGTATGCAGAAACTGGTGTAAGGTAACCACTATTCGTTTTCGGCATGACCACAAGTATTCGGCTGAATACCGAATAGTTATTTGGTCCACTATTTGGCCTCAAAGTGAATATTTGATACAGCCCTAATTCTAATGTTTTTTCAGTTCTAACATATCCCATCGAAAGTTAGAGAACCACCAAAGAAAAGGAACGAAAGTTAAATGCAATTGAAAATAAACGTCTGAGAAAAATCCTGAACATAAAATGGGACGAATTAAAAAAGAGTGAGGAGATCAGAGAAATATCTGGACAAAAACCTATATCGACTGCAATAAAACAAAGAAGTTGGAGTATTGGGCCCACTAAAAGGAAATGAGCAAAGAATTAAAAAACAGGCACTGAAATGGGAAACAAATGGTCTGAGAGAGAGAGAGAGAGAGAAAAAGAGGATGTTCAAGGGAAATATTAAGAAGAACTTTATTACGAAAGGCTAGAAATGCTGGGCTGAACTCCATGTCAGAAATTTAGAAAGCTGCATGAAATAGAGGGGAATCATATGCTAGCCTTACGTGACATCTAACGGCACACACAGGATGATGATGATGAAAATATTACAGGAAGTAAGACTTACGCAGATGATTGCCGACAAAAATACCCCTTAGCTAGAGAGGCTGATAAATAGGGTGTTGCATTCCTGCATTGCCACTGAGAGAGGAACAAAGAAGAGGTAAAAAAAGAAAAAATAGGAGGAAGGTAGAAACAAAGAGGAGGAAGAGGATGATTAAAAAAAAAAAGAATTAAGAGGAAGAGGTAGATGAAGGTTAGTTGCGTATCCTTTACAGGACGTTGCAGAACTAACCCCAACAGCCCTTGGCTGTTGTGTGGCTTTTTAGGCAAATTTACGTCCAGTAGTTTGCCATTGCTTTCTGGACGGTCGGCTTTCTTGATACCACTGTTGAAACCAACGCATGGCCCGCAGCTGGGATCAAACCCAGCATCTTAGCATTACGAAGCATTTGCATCAACTTAGCCACAGAGCCGATGGTAGATAAAGAGAAGATGCAAAAAGACAACAAATAATAACCTGTGAAACAATATGGTGATCTGGTACATCTTACCATCAAATAAATCGTCAGAGTAGAATGCTGACTGTCTAATTGCCTCTTCACTACTTAAACAGGAACATAAAACAATTAATCTGTGGCAGCGACTGCAAACCATTGGTGTTGAGTCTATCGGCTGTGTCCTAAAATATCTGCTTATATCAAACCCTGCTGCCATCTTGTTTTCTGAAAGTATATTATGATAAATAATTATAAAAGCCTGACAAATAAATTTAAGTTAGTTGAATATCCTTATCAGAATGTGCAAATCATCCACATCATTTACTTGTTGTCCGTATCAATATCTAGCACATCGTTTAGACCTATTTGTATTTCATCCTCCAATGCAGCAGCTATCTGAGTGTTTTCATGCTCAACAAACCCAGTAGAACAGTGATTCCCAAACTGTGTGACTTGGTGCCCCAGGGAGCCGCAACCTCTTCGCAGGGGCGCCGCAAAATACTGTAAGCGCTTTATAATCCAAGGTCAGGATATAAATACATTAACTAACACCAGCATTTGGGAGTGGGGTGTGGGGGGGGGGGGGGGGGGGGGGGGGTCCTTTGTGCTAAATGGCATGTTTTAAAACACCAAGTTGACGTGAGAGTTTTCCTGTAAGGCTGAGTAAAAGAGGTCATGTGGAATGTTAAATTAAGAATCAACATCATAGCACTCTGGACACCCCCATAAGTGCCAAATCCCCTTCTTCAGGAGCAAGCGAAGAGTTCTGATTCCAATGGTACTAGTAACTGTCTGATTGTATATCCATCTCACTTTTTGCCTGCGTTTTGAGTGTGGGCCAAATCCCCTGGTTAACTCCCCACAGGGCCATTCTTCTCAGACAATATTGATCTATCTGTGCCTCCGCACTGTTCACTCACCCCCAAAAGGCCTTCACAACCTCTAGCTTTTCATAAATCAATTCACCACCAAGTGGTGCAGAACCAACCAGTCTATCCGCCTGTTCATTTCCCAACACACCAGAATAACCTGGTCATAGCATGAGACCTGATAGATGTGTTTATACAGACCACTGGGGATGTATTCCCTTTAATTCCCTGCCCTGCTAATTTGTATTGACTACCTCTTTCATATCATCATCATATAGCAGGCCTTTTGCAGAACACAGCTCTTATCATGGTCTGCCTAAAAAAGACTTGGTCTCTCACGTGAAGGTTTGACACCTTTGTGACTCAAAGACTAGAGTCACTTTCTGAATACAATTCCAACAAGGTAAATCATAGATACCCTATTCAACCTCTTAAGAAGTTATATACTTAACTCACTCAGAGCTGAGCAGCTCTTTGTTTTTCTGATTTCAGTCTACTTAAGACTTAAGAGATGTACTTGTCTTATTTCTTTGTGCTACACTTTGTCCCAATTGTTACTTCAACTCCTTCTGTACTGTCTCCTAGGGATATTTTTTTTATTATTTTGACTTCTTTATACATAAACATGAGAGTAGTTAAATAAAGTAACAACTTCTTAGAATATATCTATACAAGTCGAACTAACAGATACAGTACGTACACTCACCAGCCAACTCAGCAAGGCTGAAAGTTAAAGGTAGGACCAAGATTAAGAAGAGTTGAGGCGCCGACCGAAAAAGTCAGACAACTGAATAATAATGACATGTATTTTATGTTCATTTGCTGATAATATGTTTCCATAAAATTTGGTTTTCCGATTTACTTATCTTATCTCATTAATTATTTTAATTTTAGTAATGAAATGAAGTAATCAGTAATTAATGGTAAAACTTAAAATAGATTAGCGATTAGCCATTAGCTTGAAACAAAGTTAGAACACTGCACACATCTTTTCCCGCCTTCGACAGTCATTTGTATTGACAAAATGTACGCTGAACAACCATCCCAGCACACATTTATATATTAACAGATAAAACTTAGTCTTCTTTCAATACCTCTCATTGTTTGCAGAGAAACCTTACCGTCCTCTCATCGCCAGACCATCCTCTCTTTTGTTTTGGTTCCGGTTTACTCTATCCGTGAATGCGATTATTTTTTGGAAGTTCGACTATTTGAAGCATCGATTTCGCCTCGATCAAGCAGGTACCGTCTCGACAATAAATTATTTTGATTACAGGTACGCTGCCGCGAACTTAACTTTGGGGAGTTTGTGGATGGGGGAGGGGGGGGGGGTGGCTCAAACCCACCACTTAGTCCACCCATGGCCGGCCCACCCCTCCCCCCATTGCTTACACATTTTTCGGTTATCATTACGGTGGGCGAGGGGAGTTATATTTACTCCCCAACTTGTACCGGTCAGTTCTCTAAGTAGCCATAGTCGTCTTCTGGCCTTCCCGTCTACATTTTCTATCTGTTTGCTCCACGTGAGTCTTTTATTAAACGTCACTCCAAGATAAGTGGGAAGGATTTCATCTTTAAGCAAGTATGTTCTTGTGTGAATATTAGCAGCTTTGTCCCTGGGGGAAAGAGATAAAGGCCTTGTGGATGTTTTGTCTGTGTTGATGGCAACATGTCACTTTTCCGTGTCTTCAAGAGATCTGTTGCTCGCTGCAATCTTAGATTTTCTACTGTAGTGTGTTAATTAGTACACCATAGTGCCAGATCATCTGCATACAGGGCTGTCTACACTCCTGTAGGGAGGTCTTTCACCAGATCACATGTGTAAACAAGAAATAGACTTGGAAAAATAACTCCTCTCTGGGGTAATCCTTGAGGAAGAAACACTTTTCAGCTCCGCAGGCCATCAAAAGTGACTCTAGTTCTCCTGTTGTGTTAAACGGATTGGATCCATCTTAGCAAATTTCCTTGAATTCCATTTATCTTCAGTTTTGCAATGAGGCCTTCTTTCCACACTTTGTCGAAAGCTTGTTTGAAGTCAACCCACATTGCCAGTCCTTTTCTTCTTTTGGAAGTCGTCTTCTACAGCTTGTGACAGGTAGGTGACTTGGTCTTCTTTGCTTTTGCATTCTCTTAATCCAGCTTGCGCTGACACCAAGATCTGCTCAGATTCTAAGTGCCATTTCAGTTTTATATATAAATGACGAGGTGCCATTTCAGTTTTATATGTGAATGATGAGGTGCCATTTCAGTTTTATATATGAATGGTTAGGTGCCATTTCAGTTTTATAGATGAATGATGAGGTGCCATTTCAGTTTTATAGATGAATGATGAGAATACCATGGACAGATACAAACAGTAATGGGGATGTCTTGAAAGAAACTGACTCAGTTCTCTTTCGTGATTGTCCACATCAGAAAGAGACAATCTACATTCTTTGGTCATGTGATGAGAAAAAGAAAGTGGAATATATAGTGACAGTAGGAAAGTTGCAGGGGAGGATAGGCAAAGGGAGGCCGAGAGAACAGATGCTGGACAGTTTGACATCATGGCATGGAGGATCATCTGTGTCAGAGTTGAATGAAAGTATACCAGACAGAAGGATAGACATGACTTTTAACGCCACATGGCATGGACTTTAGGAATAAGAACTCATGTCTGTGTGAAAAAAAAACAAACAAATTCTTATGTAATATTGCAGGCGCAGTAAATTATTAAGTTTTGCACTTCCCACCTGACCTGTGTAATTTCCGTTAAAACGATTTCCCTCACTTACACTAAATATATTGATTATGTGTAGGTGGTTTTAGGGGGAAAACCCACTGACAGTTGCAAATCAACACTTTTTCTAAGTACCTCACGGAGTGCCTCAAGGAGTGCCTCAAGGAGTAAAAAGGTATCAATAATTCATTTTACATTTAATGGCCTACCAATGTTTTATATCTTTCAGCGGGTGTTAAGTTATATTAGTAGATCTCGCCCCACCCCCTTTTTAAAAACCCCTTTTCTTGTAATCAAATGTAGTGGTTTTCTTTTCTTTTTGATGTATATTTTTGTATCATGCAACCGTCTTGGTAGAGTTTTAGAAGGTTTAAAGAAAAACTTATGTAATTTCACTATTTGTGTGTGCATCCATACTGTTCGTGAACGCAATCCAGAATAAGGCGTCGCTAAAGGTTGTTTAATTAAAGGCGTATCCACAAATCAATGTTTAGTTACTGTGTCTTAAAGGTGGCTTATTAAAAATGACATAGACAACAATTTCACAATAAGCTTTATGCAGAAGGTTACAATTTTACTGTACTAGCACTTCCGCTATTAATATAAGATGGGTCATTTATACAGTGATTTTCAGGATCCAGAGAAAAAAAAAAAAAAAAAAAAAAAAACTGACGCTTAGTCTTTATATAGCATCATTTATTTACTCTTCTTCTGCCAGTTTGTTTGTTTGTTTAGTATCCAGAAGCCATGAGTTGTTAACCCTTAAGCTCGGTATTATGGAAATCGCAACCTTTTGGCCTTGATTCCGTGAAAATTACCGTAAATCTGGGAGAAGTGTGACTTTTCTGCCTACACCCGGGAGTGAACCCGGACCACAAGGAGTTGGTCACCCGGTCACCGCGCAATCCGATTTAGCCAACTACGCTAGAGAGCCGGGCTTCTTCTGCCAGAGGTCTCGCCTCCGGCTAATCTCGCCCTGTATGAATAACATCGGAAATACCAGGTGGTTATCGAACTTCTCTGTCGGGGGCAAACATTGTTCAAGTAAAGTTTTTCCGACCTATACACACCGTGATTGGCTGTTCATTCGTGGTTGCTAACCTTTCACATGCGCTAGTCTAAGTTACAGGGGTTCAAGTTGAGGTCTGCTATGTATAGGGGGCTGAGTGATCTCGAGGCATGGCGTTCGCCCCGAGTGCTGGAGGTCCTGGATCCCGAAGCAAGGAGTCCTCCAAGAGTGCTGGAGGTCCCCGGATCAGTCCCCGATAAAGGTTGGAATTTGTACACATGAACTTCTAGTAATTTCTTAAGGTCTCTGGGTAGTAAGTCCGGACGCCAGTGCGCAGTGTTGCGCACGTAAAGAATCCCTTAGCAGTTGAAAATAAAAAAGAGTAGCCTAACGTCGCTGCCCGGGCAAAATATGGAATTAAAAGTCTACCCAAAGGAGTACAAGATCATCGCCGGTTCTACGGAGTTCGTGCACTGCGTTGAGGCTCTTCGGGCTCAGGCTTGAGTTAAAAGTAGAACGGAGCAGTTATGGGTTACTACCATTGTACCACGATGTTGATCTGTTTTTAAAACCATTCAAACCAACCAATCTGTGATGTATATATTGAGCGTTGTGTGATG